AGATGTGTATAAGAGACAACCTGTATCCATTAGAGTGTACACTCAATATTAGCCTACCAAATTTTGAAAAGCATATTGATTTAACCATCACCCCTGATTTTTACGCAAAAATGTTAACGGCAGTAGTAAAACTTAACAACATTGTTTGCTTAAATCCTATATAAGTAGAAGATATTTTACGTCAACAATTATGGGAAAATAAATTCATTACATCGGATAAAAAATCATTATACTTTAAAAATTGGTTGAAATCAGGCTGCAAAACAATAAATGATATTGTAATTAGTAATAGAATAATACAACCGGAAGAATTGATTCCAATACTGTCAATAAAACTAAACGGATTAATAGAATATTTTAAATTATTTAATGCCATCGCAAGTGATTGGAAAACAACATTATTGTCGCTCAATGTAGAGAATAAGTCGGTGAATACAGAACCGTACAATTTGATGCTTATAAGCAAACACAAAAGTAACACATACTATCGATATTTTGTAAACGAAATTGCCTCTTTTCCAGTAGCGCAAAGAAAATGGGAAAAAATCATTAACATAGAAAAATGTATGAACTAATAAGGTAAACTGTATGCGACATGTCTCAAACGTCGCACAATTTAATTTTAAATTGTTACACCGCATTTTATCATGTAAGAAGGGACTTAAAAACTGTAATTTAGTCATTACCGACCTATGAGATATATGTGAGAATGAAATCAAAGGTGAAGAGCATATGTTAGTTAAGTGTAAAACCATCCAATTTGCCAGAAACAAATTTAATACTATGCTTATAGAATGTTTTCAAAATCATGAACAGCAACCTTTCCTAAGCTTCTTTACAATAATAACAGGAACCAACAACAAACTGGTAAACGAATTAACTTCGTTGTTCACATTTGTTTATATAAGTCAGGTTTTGTATGTAAAGCTCCTGGAAAAGTTGAAAATCAAACATCTAAGATCCATTTGGAATTTATTTAGATTAAAAATAAAAAATATTAATATAAAATGAATATTCATGCAACCCAAATACTGCCGTGATTTGGAAAAAGGCATTAACTCCAAAATCCTAGTTTTGAGTTATTGAGCAAAACGCGTTTGTCGTTAGCCTTTTGTACTGGAAATGAAATCTAGTAATTTTTTTTGGCAAATATACTAAAAATATAATTAAAAAACATATTAAATAATTTTCATGGTGATTTTTGTTCTTTAACCCTATTTAAATGGAGATAATGCACTATTCCAAATTTTAACAGGAGTCAATGGTGCGTGAAAAATCTGAAGTTAGGCATTAACTCCAGTTTTTCCAGTGAAATGTGTATCTTACGTAGCCAAATTACAGTATTTCTGACAAACAAATAATGTATGCCAGTGTCAATTATATATTTCGTATATATTATTTAGTTAAAATTAATATTATAGTATAAATTTATAATCAATTTAGGAGTCGTCATTGTATTGTACACGTATAAAAATAGATAAAATTATTATTAATATTGTTCAAATTAAGCTGCTATCATTTTTATATTCAATCGGAATACAATATTGATATATGATGGTTATATTATGAAGAATAGTATTAATATACTTAGTAGAACCTCTAATTTACGTATACTAAATTTACAGACTTCTATTTTACAAACGCGAAGTTACATATTTCGAATCTTCATATTATATTTACGAATCATGTAAAAAGTGCCCAAATACAAAAATTATACTTTTTTAAGCTATTATTCGAAATTAAAGACATTATTCGGTGAGGTAAATGGTTCTATAAAATGGTGTGGTAGATAAATAGAATCTAAATGAATCAAAGTTAGACGAGTTTTAGGTTTTCTCTTTTATTTTTCAACATAATTTTACCAGCATTGAAGATAATGAAATATTATTTTCTTAATTTTTTTGTGATTTTATTACTTTAACAGCATTGAAGATAATAAAATATTCTTTTCTTTATTTTTATTGTGATTTTATAACTTTTATCAGCGTTCAATATGATATTTTCTGTATTTTATTGCGATTATTGGCCTGATTTTTCACTCAATTATCTATCAAATCAGCAACATCGCCAACAGGCATGTTCCTCCAAAAGGCTTTTCTATTCTCGCTCATTAGTGGTAGAAGATTTTTTTAATATGCCATTTTTTTAAACCGAAGTAAAGCTAGGCATTATGTGCATTCACAAGCTATCATGACTAATTAACTATGCGTAATCTTCTGTGATTGGTTCATTATGATATGTTCATTGTTTGGTGGAGATAATGCCTTCTTCCAAATTATTCTGCATTCATGGATTGGAGTTAATGCGTAAATATAATATTTATTTCATATTTCTGGACATTTTTTGGGGTATATGATCAATTCACATGATAGATTACATCTATAGGATGCCATAGAAACAAAATTCCAAAAATCTCAAAAAGTGGAGTTAATGCCTTTTTCCAAATTACGGCAGATATAGGCCTAAGGCAGAAATGAAGTGGAACAACGTTAAACAAAAACTTTTAGAATTTGTCAAGTAAGATAATTCTATATAATAATAATCTGCATTTATTTTAAGTTAAACCTACTTTTACAATAAAATTTCTGTATAATTCTCCATTACCAAATTTATGAATTTAAATATAAAGAGGATCTTACAATGTGTTGAAAATCTGCAATATCAATATCTTACAATTGTATTATATTTCGCATTAGTGACAAATCAGTTTATTGTTCACAGTTTTTAATATCAATTTTACTTTTAAGATCTCAATATCATTATTATAATACAGCATAGGTCAACTTTTTTTTTTCTATTTATACTCTTCCATTATCGCATTTTATGATTATAATAATAATAACTCTCAATATACTTGGTGTTAATCAGTACTATAAGTTTATTATAGTTAAGAGCTATTTTTATATTCACATTACACTTCTATGAATAGTTTTCACAGATCTAGAAATTTCCAATGTTGCTATTTTACCATTATAATACCATATCTCATTTTGCAATATTTTAAATGTAAATCCCCTGTAAAAATAAAATATACCGACTTAGTTTATTTTTATATATTTATAAAATATTTAAAATATTATCACATTTCATCGCAGTCTGTAAAATAATTATATTCTCATTCATATCTATGCTATTTATTAACTATATTTTATTTGTGCAATATCTTGAGCTATTCTTACAGTATTCATAATGCTCGAAAATATTTACAACTTTTGTTTTGCTTATCGTAATGTAACAGAAAGACTTCATAAATAAAAGTGGGCTGCCCCCACGAAAGAGAGACAGAATATATATGAATATATATATTATATATAAAGTTTAGTTTCTAAATTTAGTTTTAGCCTTCCTGTTTACTTGTTTAGGCTGTTTATTCTAATCTCACCCAGCCTATTGTTTCCAATCATGGTTGCATGAAATTCTCACTTTATACCATCTAGCTTTTTCTACCCTCACTCACTCGCCACTGAGAAAATTATTTATATGACCCAATAAAATAGTGTAAAGCGCATGTAATGTATACAAAATGAAAATGGAATAATCACACCCCCCAGGAATTTAGCTATTTATAGTGGAGCTGTAGGTGGCGTTTAAGGTCTGACCTTAACGAACTGGGTTTAAATCCTATGAAACTCCGCAATTAACATTCTGTTCCCCTATCATTTTGAGCCACTTTATTGCAAAGGATACCAGAGTATTTCAGAGTAAAATAGCTACATAGGTATCACGCATACCATAAAACAAACAAGAGGCAACAGAAATAAATTAAAGAGAGAACTATACAATTTAAATATATATATATATATATATATATCTATATATATATATATGAATTATACTTCTGTTCATCTTAACCATATTAAGAATATAAAATGATTGAAAATGCAGATAATCCGGAATTATCACCGATGGAAGAATGCAATGACACTATCTGTGATGTCAGTCATAAATTAAATGAAGACCTTCGGCTACTGTGTACAGCAAGTAATGTCGATCGAGAAGAGGATGCACTTATCATGTGGACTTCCAGTATAGTGGGCCTTATAAACGCTGCAAAAATTACCACAAACTATAACCAACATGTGTTAACATCAAGTATTTCCTTCACTCATCTTCAACCATTGAGAGGTCATCACAATATAAACTGTACATTAGATGTTCTATCTAGTTGTGGAAAGAACCAGTCCGTAATGTATACGTTCAATGCTGAATGTAAGTTATATATATTTTGTATTGCAGAATATCGCCTTCAAATTGCTGGATCTTTTATAATAATAATAATCTTCATTTAAAACTTAACCTTTAAAACTGTGGCACACGTCGGTGCGTTCATAAGAGTATAACATACATAGAATTTAAAATAAAATAACAAACTGTAACAAATAAATTCAAATACTGTACTGTATTATAACACTGCGTAGAAAACAACTTAAAATAACTCTAAAACTTTGACCATATTAAAATTTAATAGTCTGAAATAGATTAAAAATGTACTTAATATAGGTGGAATTCCAATATATTATAATATATTATAATATATTTATATATATAATAATAATATATATATACGTAAATTTAATAATGACATTTATTGTTGTACATTTACACAATATGCTATAACAAACCTCTTCGTTACAGAGTATTTTTTTTTATTTTCAATGTTATAGCCTTAGATGTACCAAGCAAGGAACGAGCAACCAACTATTACCACGCAGTTGAGTACATTACAATGATTTACTCATTATTTATTGGTACTGTAGTCCTTGTAATTTAGAGGTAAACTAACATTTCTATTTGTACTAACTTAGTACAAACCTACTACCACTACCACTACAACCACCACCACCACCACTAACACTACCACTACTAGTTTAAAATCTATGGGCTTCTTTTTAGAACTCGTTGATGGCCGGGCTTCTTTTCGAAATTGGCTTCTTTTCAAGAATAGTTAAGCAGAATAAAGAATGAATTCTGTAAATATTTGGAATTGCCACTATAAAAGTATATATGACTACTGCAGACATTTTTTCCGCCAAAAAAACTCGAAGTTTTTTATTTATTTTGTTTTTATTGTCACACTGTGCAGTCCAATATCAAGTCTGCCATCCTCTCTCGGGTCGTTAAAGAATTAAAGACAGAAAGAGAGGTCAGAAAAACATTCATTTTTACCATGATGACATCATCAAAGTGAAAGAAATATATGACGCATTCCACTACACCTACAAAACAAAACAGGGGTTTCAGCAAGGACTGTGCATTATTGCCATTACCACTATAACGCACGTCTGTTAAGCACGTCAGTTAAGCATGTGTTCTAAAGAACATAAGGTCGTGGGTTTGAATCGCGTATAGATATTCAATATTTTTTTTTCTAATTTTAAGAATTTATTTTTGTTCAATTTTATGTACCTTAATTTTCAATTCCAAATTATGTTTTGCTTTTTTGTACAAATAAACATTCTATTTATTTTAAAAATTCCTATCTTATTAGCTCTTCCAAAAAAACAAATATAATAATTTGCGCTATACCGTATTAAAGCGTGGAGAAAAAAAACCGAAAAATATAACTGGAAGAATGCAATTAATGCAAAATGTAAAGCAACAAACGAACTTGAGTCAAGTACTTACACATAAATGAACAACCTATTAACGGCATTATTGATCAAATTAAATATAAAAAGAGGTAGCTTTCACCCGTAAAGAAATTAAAATAATTAAAAATAAAAATTAAAAATATATATTGTAAAGCATGTGGATTGGACAGCTTCCCGACCGAAGTTTAAAAGATTGTCGATTTCCACTTAACCAAGAGCTTTTCCACATGTGTATTACTGTTTATATTCCAATAGAAGAATGGAAAGAAGACTGTATTCTCCCCTTTTCAAGGAAACATTTGAGTCGCTGACAACTATGAAGGCATCACCCTCACAGCAGTAGCAGCTAAAATTTACAATATTGTTTGACTAAATCGAATCCGCTTAGAAATTGAACCCCAATTCCGCAAAAACTAAAATGGTTTCAGACAAAATAAAATTAACATACTGGTCAAATCTCACTTTTAGACGTATCAGATTCCATACTATTATAGCCAATCGCTTGAAGTATTAATGAAGTCCAACAAACTGTTTAACACTGAACTCCAGAAAGCCTTGCTTAGAGGGGTGAGCGGCTGTATGAAACATAACTTGGTGGTGCACGAGCTCATTAGACATGCGAAATCTAAATCTCACACTATGTAAAATAAATGTTATTTTACATTTTTTGATTTAGAAGACACGTTTGGCTCGTTCTTCCATAACCTTATATTCGATTTATGCTTGATAGGTCCAAATGTTATTGATCCTGATGTTAAAAACTATATACCTAAGCTCTATGATAATATCTCATGGCGGGTAACAACCAAACTTTGAAGCTCAGATGAATTTCGTTTTCCGCAAGGGGATTTTTCAGGGAGATCTCCTTTCACCGCTTATTATTTTATGTTTCGACCCTTTATTTCAGTTTAATGAAATGGAGCTATCCCGCGGATATGATATGAAGGGAAAAATTATATTCAGGGGTAGCGCATGGATTTTCCCGACGGGGGGCCGGGGGCCGATGCCCCGACGAGAAGTCAGATTTCCCCGACGAAAGTAAAGTGGGCGTGGTCGACATTTGATTAAAAGGATTCGAAAGTGTTTGAGAAAAATTGTGACATTTTAGGGGTTTCAAAGGCATATTTTTTTAATCGATTTTAGAGTCTACTAATATGTAGAAAATACATTTTTTTTTCTCCCCAACGAATTGTGCTTTTTCTCCTCGACGGACGGGGGGAGGGGTGTAGTTCTCCCCGACGGGGGCGCTACCCCTTTGAGCCTCACTATGGGGCTCAATCTGAACGCATCCAAATGCAGATCTCTCTCTATCGTTCGCGGGATGGCTTCAAATATCCTATATATGTTAGAGGACAATGTCATTATGTCAGTTAAGCAGGAACCTCATAAATGTTTTGGCTCGCTCATTACATTTCACAACACCGAAAATGATGTTTTCCTCTTTCTCATGGATATGATAGAAAATAGTATGGGGTTGATTGACAATGTTCTTATTAGACCTGAATTTAAGATTAAGATCTATGCCAAATATTTGTTACCCAGCCCGAGATATCATTTGACTGTGATAGCATTGATGCACTCTGCTATAGATTTCTCATTTCTAGAAATGGTTTGGGATGCCTAGACCAGGCACATTGGCATTTAATCATATACCTCTTGTCTAGAAATCCCTAGAATTTCTGACATCTATATTGAATATCATGCTCTTGTGCATGTTTCCTCTCGTTTAAAATGTGGTCCTTTAGTTAATCATAGCCTGGACACCAGAATTGCTAGGGAGAGCAAATGGAAATGAAACAATCTTTTACTACCGATTCCGAAACCATGTTCTGCCAAGCTCTGGATTTTGAACCGGAAGCACAAGTAAATCCTCTGATATACAAGTAATTTCACCCCGATCCAAGAGTATTGGAACAGCCATGTGAGGGAGCTCTTGGTCCAGGGAAGGCTTTACAAATTGTTATCTTTAGAAGAAAAATGCCATCATTGGAAGAGTTTTATCTATAATTTGCCAATGGGCGTCATAAAATTGTTATACAACGCGATGAGTAATACACTTAATAACAGGGTTAATTTACATAGATGGGAAAAAATATTTAGGAAAACTTTAAAGCATGTAGGAACAGAGAGATGCATTTATATATCCTTAATAATTGTTCGCGTTCCCTGGGCCAGGACGCCTCACATGGCGGCATTATAACGTGCTAAAAAATAAAATTTTGAAGGATGGATTTAAATCAAAATGCTTCCCTTCCTCGCATTCTGTGTGACCCCTTGGCCGGCACTTTTTCAAATACATTCATCCGCAATTCCTATTGAATATGTTGCAACCAATTTGATCCCAGACATTTAACTCTTTTGACCAAATCTTAAAATCTTAAAAAAACTTGTCATTCTGGAACTAAATCATCTTATTTGAAATCCAACTTACCAATGCACATTTAAGGATGTTTAATAAATATTCACATTCGGTTTTTGATCTCAGAGACGCTTACCACGAGGTCAAATCTGTCCGTATTGAAATCTGCTCTTTCCTTTTCTCCTTTGTCGTTTTTTCTTCGGTTACCTCCCCTGTCGTTTATTTTAAGAACGTAATCCTAGGGAGTTTTCTTAATGTTTTCCATTTATCCATTTTTGAAATATGTTCTTATTGTTGTTTTGAATAAAAATGATAAAAAAAAATCTTCTGGCAGCATTGTTGCATTGTTCTTTGTAGCCTTCTCCTAAAATATCCACCGTGAAAAAATGAAAGACTTTTTAATCGCCTGTGGCATTCCACACGAAACTCTATCAAAATACAAAGGCACTTGAACGAACACCCGACAATGAAACTGAGTACTTTGATAATTTCGCATGCATTTTCTCACTGGCTTCCTACCTTTTATTTATATGCCTGGACTATGTACTAGAATAACAGATTACATACCTATGTATCCATAGTTGGCTTCAACCTAGACAGCCATGCTAAAATGATACACTTTATTAATTAAACGGCTTCTATAAAATGGAATCCAGTACCGTTTCGAACTTTATATTAACTTCAACAAATAATATTTAATCATCAAAAATAACGCAAGACTGCATCACATATACTAGTATAATGCTATAATTAACTAATTTTAGCTATTCTTCGATTTTTGCTTCTTCCACAATAATTGTAATTATTATCCAATCCCTATCCTATTAGAAGAACTACAGAATGGGAGGGGGAGCTTCTTTTTAATATTAAGTCTATTTGGCTTTTATTTGAGGTTTTACAGTATGCTAATGCTGTATTGTATGACACACACATTATATATATATATATATATATATATATATATATATACAGTAAATATATACACATATATATACATGGTATGAGCACACATATATATATATGTATATATATATATATATATATATACATATATACATGGTATGAGCACAATTGCACATCTCATTGAGTTCATGAGTAGCAAAAAAGAAATACGTTGTAAAAATAAGGGTAATTTTCTGTGATGTTTACTGATGTTTTGAAATCCCAACAGAATAAAGTGTCGTGTCGTACCGTGAACTGATGAATAGTACCACTGGATTGCCTATCTAGTTTCCAAGTCAGGTATTTTTAGGTGTGTTTTCACTTGACATAGCCTAAATAAGTGTATGGAAACATTCTCTCATCTATGAGTTATATTCAGCAAGTGAATTTCAACACGGTATAGCCGTATTATTAATATGGTGTTTTTTCATTGACGTAACCAATCAGTCTATTTTTTTTCAAAATGTTGATCAGAAAATGTGTTAAAGATATATGAATTGTAAAATTGATATTAACAAAGAACTCTTAAATGTTTATTTCTTTTTTCATTAATTTAGATTGATTTCTTTATTCTATTCCTTATTAAATGCAATAGATTAGCTTAGCTTTTTTTAAATTGCCAGCCTCTCCACCACTGCCACCACCTATGGGGTATTTGTAATACCGTAGTTTGTTTTCATCAATTATATATTTATCAGATCTTATTTTGTTAAGTTCTAAATAACAACATTCAATATATTACTTTCATTATGTTCTAATATATAAAAGTATTTAATGAAAATATTTAAGTATTGATATACGAATGTCTATTATTAGTCCTCATGAGTCTTATTTATAATTATATCACTCTCCTATTTTAGTTTTAATGTATAATGGGAGTGATGTACAGCTTCAGCTTGAAGTATGAACAATCAATATAAGGGTTCATCAACATCGACAAAATATTAGGCATTTGTTGCTTGTGCTATATTTACCAAACTGTATAATCGTACTACAAAAGTGTAATTTAGAAAAAAAATGATACCTATAACTTATAGAAGGCCAACTGTTTCTCTATTTAAGAAAAACAAATGGAAATTTTCTGCAGTCGTTGTTAATAACTACATATATAAAGATGATGTATCAAGGTGTCAATATTTCTACAAAATAAAAATTTTTAATATTGTTATTATTATTATAAGTCTACTATATAACATATTTGATTTGTTGATCGTTTGTATATTAACATGTATGGTGCAAGCCCCAATATTACCATTAATTTTAGACATTAATGAAATAAAAGTGGGCTTTGGTTGTATTTGTTATTTTTTTTTTATTGTGGTTGAACCTCCTTTTACTTTAGCATATTTTGTCATTTGTTGAATCAGAGTTATGGGTACACTCAATGTAATGTTTAAGTCTTATTGTGTTATAGAAATGTGTACATGTGATTTTGCTGCGGTTAGTTTTTGGTTGGTTTCTGTTGACAGTAATTTGTAGTCTAGAAAAAAAAAATCTAAAAAGAGGCCTACAAATCCCCTTAGAAGGAGTTGAATGTTAGAAGCAGTCACCCATGCCAGATGTATGTTTGACACTATCTGGTCACCCCTAGCCTGGGTGACACTTTCGCTAACATTCCGAAAAACTCACCTCCATCATATGTTCCTTTCATATGCAAATTATTTGAAATAGGTTATGAAAAATGAAGAAAATGCAGTGTTTATGTATCTTTGTAATAAGCGGTTTCAAAGATACATAAATGCAGTGTTTATGTATCTTTGAAACCGCTTATTACATGTTTCAATTCAATGTAATGAACAAGATAATCTGAGATTAATAGCCCTCGCTCTGCTGCTCCCATATATTTGTATATAGTCACTGGTTTTTGTTGTATTATAGGGGTGTAATATTATTAGCTATACATATCAGGTGAAACATAGCTGGTGTTTAAAAATGTACACATATGTAGTGTAAAGTTAATCGAACGTATGGGGTTCTAGTCTCCTTTTTTTTTGTTATTTTTATTATTTGTGCATCAGTAGAATACATTTTTTAAATATTTTATTATTTTTCACAATTACTTTTACAGGTATGAGCGATTCCACTTGTACCACCTCCGGGAAAAACCATTTTAAAAGTCGTACAACCTAGGAATTGCTATGTTTGTTGACAACCATTGTTTTTCATGAATCTTAGGCGTATAGTTTAGCATAGAGTATAGCCACTGCTTCTTTTTGATATTTAAATATTAGCAAATTTCATCAATAAAATGAATAAGATAAATTTTGTGTGTGTGTGTGTTTAATTTATCCTATGTTTTGTTTATTCTTTACCTCAATAAGCACCTAAAGATCGAGCGTACGGTATTTATTTTTTAACTTGGTAAGACACAATGAACGTGGGCGTTCGACCTAGGATATTTTATGGGTTATTGTAAATGTTGTGTGATAAATACTCTCTGTAACTACTACATAAATATTGACAATTACGGCTGGACTTTATCCAGACTTAATGTAAAAAAATATACATCGCGACGCTTACACTATAGCAATTTAAACCTACTATTATTATTAGTAACAATTGTCATGGTGACAGTTTGAATGTAATATATTAGTTGCATTCTTATATGTAACACTCTTGTTAGTTTTAACATTATGGGTATTTATTGGTATATTAAACATATAACTCGAGCAATGTAGTGTTGTTCTCTTGGCAAATAATGATTACTGACTATTCGCCTCCCTGTAGCACTTTCAAAACCTTTTATAGGAAACTCGACCACGCCCACTTTGCTTTCGTCGGGAAAATCTGACCCCTCGTCTTGGGCATCGGGCCCCCGTCGGGGACCTCGCCCCCCCCCCACCCAGGTCGGGCAAATCCCTGCGACACCCCTGTCTCAAATAGCATTACCTAAATTGAACAAATAAAGCAATTCAAGGAAGCTGTTACAGGTCATCTTAAAGATATGGGAAACAAATATTACTGACAAGCTGTAGTAAATGTGCACACGTTAACCTGTCCGTTTGACTCCGTTGGAGTTTTAGGCAGTATCCAATCCAGATTGAGATCAGGATCCTGGGACAAGTCCACTTTACCTGAAATCACACATGCTTGAAAGTATATTGTGAGATATATGGCCGGAAAATATTTCTAAGATCTGCATCATATTTCTACAATCCATCCGCCAAACGAAGCATAGCATAGGCCTCAGGTGACAATCCCATCAGTCGGGCTTAACACGCTTTCCGGGGTGCTTCAAGTCCGCATGCCAGAATTTAACACATGGTCGATCCGCTCTAGTCTGTCAGTGGTCGATCCGCTCGAGTCAGCCTGGCCTAGCCAAATGACTCGGTCGAACGATCCTCTTGAGTTGGCTCTGCCGGTTTAATATCTACATCAAATTTGAGGAGGACCAAGATACATACAGATACATATTGTCAGTGTGTAAAAGTAATAGCTTAATTGGTAGAGTAGTTTTTGATTTATGCTCCCGGAAGAACAAACACACCACAAGAAAGTCAAACACCCAGATAGAACACAAGACAGACGGGGCTGATTGCAGCAGCAGCTACAATACACTCTTTTTCCCTTGTGGGTGGGGGGAAGTGTAATTTCGTCCCCTTGGGAGGGGAGGGGTAATAATTTTGAATAAAATTGTCCCTTGAGTTTCATTCTTGACTATTTACCCAGCAGGTCACATTGTATTCCTGTGTCACTCCATAATAACTGATCATAGAAAATTTATGTTTGTATCTAACCAGTCGTTCGGACGCATTTCTATTTAATGAATTATATATATATATAT